TTGGAAAGTAGAAATCCATGATATCAAAAGTAAAACTATATTCATGACAAACACCACGACTTTAGACAAGCACTTTATACATGCGTATTGTGCTACATGTCATTCGTCTCAAGGGGCTTCTCTAGATAAAAGCATTACTATACACGAATGGGATAAATCACATTTGGTCAGCCGTGAGTGGATTTGGACAGCCCTCACGAGATGCAGAGATATCAATAAAGTCAAGTTTTTCAAAGCAGACGTAGATGATACTGATTTAAATGAAGCACAAGTAACCAGATATTTAGAACATAAGATTAAACAATATAAATTACAAGACATGAAAGCAGAGAGAGAGATAGACAACAAACAATATATTGATGTCAAATGGTTATTTGACAGGCTTAATACCAGATGTAATAAATGCAGTTCAGATTTTGACATAGAAATAAATAATGGAGTAATAAATAGCAATATGACAGCCCAAAGAATAAACAACGATTATGCCCATCATAAGGAAAACTGTATATCTTACTGTTTAAACTGTAATCGCCGGGAAAAATAATATCTATCTTATTTTATATGGCATCTAAGCAAGATATTATTAATAATGTTTATTATGATAAAGGAGGCTTCGGGTCAAAGAACCGCACTTTACAAGAAGCAAGAAAAAAGGATAACACAATAACTATAAACGATATTAATGAGTTTTTTAGGAAGAATGTAGAACAGAAAGCCAAGCCAAGAGGACAGAATTCATTTGTAGCTCCTAACGCATATTATGAGTTTCAAATTGATTTATTTTTCATTAATGATATCCCTAAACAAAAAATGAAAGTTGGCATGATGTGTATTGACATATTTTCTAAGTATATGGTTGTTGTCCCGCTTATGTCAAAACAGCCAGCGGACATTTTAGCAGAACTGATGGAATGTATTAAAAAAATGGGTGGAAAGCCCAAACTAATTTATATTGACGACGAAGGAGCTTATAATAATCAAAGTGTTATAGATTTCTTGAAGGATGAAAAAATAGAGTTGCACAGAACCAGAGGACACCCAGCATTTGCGGAGAGGGCGATAAGGACGTTTAAAGATAGCTTGTATAAGAGGGTTGAAAACGATGAGAAAAAGGAAAGGCTATTCAATGGACAGACTACATACACGAGATTATATTAACTTATAACAATGGAATAAAGCACACTTCGCACGGCTTAACACCGTCAGAAGCAAGAAAGCCTAAACATCAATTAGAAGTGAGTTTAAATTTAGGTATGAAAGCCAAAAGAAATAGAGTTTATCCAGATTTAAATGTAGGAAATGAAGTTAAGATATTCAGGAAAAGGAGACCGAATGAAAAGGAGAGAGTAGGAGTATGGACTAAACAAACCTACAAAATAGCAAAGATTGAAAAGAAGTTAGGACAGGAATATTATTATATTGAAAATTATGACAGGGCATTTTTGAGACATGAGTTATTAAAGGTATAAATTTATTTCTTGGAAAAAAGTATTTAAAGAAATAAAAACTATATATATTATAATAGAAATGATGGAAACCGAAATCAATAATTATATCAATAAAAAATGCTATGATTGTTGCCACTTAAAAAAAGAAAACATGGAATTGTATAAATTGAATTTACCTAATGGAATAGTTAATCATATTATCGATTATGCTTTGAGTGAAGAAGATGAATGTAAAATTTGTCAGGAATGAGAGAGATAATCAGAGAATCTTAATCAGATGTCATTTAAATCTGAAAAGAAGACATAATAGAAATGTTGAAGACAACATTATAATATTTCTAACTGTGTATCAAAGACCACCTTATAGTTATGTTAGAGCATTTCTCAAAATCAGTAAGAAAAGGTATGAACTGATTGACCACATTTTATGGATGTTGTTACATCGTAGAAGAGAGGGGTCTGATTTAAAAGAAGACATTAAATCATATATTGAAAGCAATAAGTTTAATGTGAAAAATACCGTGAAAACTATTAATATTATTTTTGAACTGATGCATGACAAACGTAAGATATTTACACAATTTAATAATCATCAATTAACTTATTATCCTGAACTTAAATTATAATCATACTATAATAATAACATGTAAAATATTATATGTTATAATTATATTTCAATATTTAATTTTATTTCTTGTAAAAAAGTATTTAAAGAAATAAAAACTATATATATTATAATAGAAATGATGGAAACCGAAATCAATAATTATATCAATAAGAAATGCTACGATTGTTGCCACTTTAAAAAAGAAAATATGGAATTATATAAATTGAATTTACCTAATGGAATAGTTAATAATATTATTGATTATTCTTTGGGTAAAGAAAATTTATGTAAAAATTTGTAGAAATTGGAGATATTACCAAGAAGCAATCGAATGTAATTTGGATATTAAAAGGTTTAATGAAAGAAATGTTGAAGATGACATTTTGATATTTTTAACTGTGTATAAAATACCACCTTATGATTATGTTAGAGCATTTATGAAAATCAGTAAGAAAAAGTATGAAATGATTGACTACATATTATGGATGTTGGAGTATCAAAGAAAAGAAGGGTTTGATGTAAAAACAATCATTAAATCACATATTGAAAGTGAAAAGTTTAATGTTAAAAATACAGTGAGAGATATTAATATTATTTTTAAAATGATGTATGAAAGAGGTAAGATGTATCAATTAAATTATTATCCTGAACTTAAATTATAATCATAATATAATAATAACATGTAAAATATTATATGTTATAATTATATTTCAATATGTAATTGTATTTCTTGTAAAAAAGTATTTAAAGAAATAAACACTATATATATATTACAGTGGAAATGTTATTTAATTATTCAAAGTGCGAATGTTGTACAACTAAAAGGAATGATGTTAATATAACATTGTATAAGTTATTACCCGCCAATCTATGTAATAAAATAAGTGAATATGATGTATATTGTAGTCAATGCTGTATAACAAGAGACCTTGAAAAGTTTTTTGTTGAAGAACATAAGGATAAGGGATATACAAAGTTTCAATTACAATTGACATTCTTTATGAGATATCAAAAACGATGTCCTGTATGTTTTTACCATACAATTGCAAGAAAGTCATTTGAAAAAGAAATTGATGAGTTCTTCAATAATAAAGATTTGATTAAAAGGTTTGGAGGGACAAGCGCAATTAAACCATATAAAGCATTTGTTAAAAAATTTCGAGGCATGTTTGATGCGATTGATTGGCATTTATTAAGTAAAGATAAAATAAACGAGGTCTTGAATGAATTTAGAATAACTAAATATCATGTATGGTCTTACTACAACACTAAATATCAAGTATGGCTACTAGTTAATTTGTTTTTCTGGGAATATATTTATTCAATAATAGGAAAAGACAATATCAAATATATAGACATTGGCGATATTGATAAATATGTAGATTACATATTTGAAGACATTTTTCCTGACTATAAATGTAACCCATAATTATTAATCATACTATAATAATAACATTTATACCCTTATATGTTATAATTATAATGTCAGTATAGCGTTTTATATATTGAAGATAAAATCCTACAAGGGACACCACGCCCCAAACAAATATATGATAAAAGTGATGAAACGAAGGAGGAGAGTGATGTTGTTGCTGTTCTATTTCTTGTCCGGGAAATGGACAAATCGTTTTTAGACAGTTCGAATATTTTTTTGATGACAAATATTTTTTGCAATATATTTTGCAAAATTTATTTTTTTGAAATGAATGAGGTGAGGAGATTGAGGAAATGACATTTTGGAGGGTAGTTGGTGAAATGAATGAGGCGAGGAGAAAGGAGAAAAGGATGGCGAACATTTTGGAAAAATGATGATAAAAAAACGGATGAGATGGACAGAAAGGAATGTAGAAAAATGATGAAAACGAATAAGGGTAGAAGATGGAAGATGAAAAAAAATGTAGGGTGGGGGGTATGTATGAAGCAATTTATTTGCGGGGCAAGGCCCCCGACTACTGCTTCCCCCGCTGCTGGCTGGAGACCCTGGCCCTGGCTCTGGTCCAAATGATGTCATTATGAGCTTAAAACCCTGTAGATGTAGATCCATCCAATACTGATTTCTATATCTATAGGGTATATTATCCTTATCTGTTTTGTGTAAAATCACCCGTTGTGACAAAAGATAGTGCAAAGTAGGTAAGGTTTTTAGGATGAATACGATCTGCAAATTATACAAGTTACTAAAGTTATACGCGAACTGGGTGATAGACGGGCTTACTACCACTCTTGGCAGCAAACCGAGTTGGAAACGACGCGACGAGAACCCTTTTGATGAGTTGTTCAACAAACGATGTGAATAAACAATTGTTTTGACAAGGGGCTGCCCCAAGCATGCCACCAATAAGTCGTTTGGCGGGTTGCCTGGGGGAGGGAACTTGGGAGTCAGATATCTCAGCAAGTCGGAAAGTAAGTGTGGATTCTGCAGAGTCCCAACTGCACTTCAGACTCCGGGAGGAATCCACAAGTGCAAAACAAAGATTTCAGGTACTCTGGTCGCGCTGAACAAATCTGACCCCCCAAGTCCTTGAGCCAAAGCAAGGGGAGGGGAGCCATTCCGAACTCGAGTGACAATTTTAGTGACCTTTGGGCGGCAGTTAAGCTCGTGGAAAAAGCGCCATGGCCTTCCTACTCCCCTCAGCACTTTGGCACTTCGCACCAGTTCGGATGGAGGACACCTGGTTTGAATTTTGTCCATTCACGCTCCAAATCGGTATGGCTCTAAACAGGGGTAGTGCTCAAATCGCCGTGTTGGGCTTTTTTAAGGGGAAGCCACTTAAGGGGGAGGGGGGTGGGGGGTCTCACAATTCCATTTATTCAGTCTTCTCCACAAAAGGGAAAATGGAACCCTAAATGGAATTCCAGTGTCCCCCCCTCCCCCAATTCCATTTTGAAGGGAGTGCGGATCTTGAGAAACCCCCAAAGCAACCCGCAGCAAACCCCCCAAAAGCGTCCTTCACTGCCGCCTGCACCTCCGCCGGGTCCGACATCGCCGCGATGGACTCGCTGCCCACGTTGGAGGTCATGACGATGACGGTGTTCTTGAAGTCCACCGTCCTGCCCTTGGGGCGACCATCTACTCCAAATACCCTCTTTGTTCTGGGTATCATGTCGACCCTCTACTAAAAATGGAGGTATTTACCATGGAAAACCAGGTGTTCCCAAAAATACCATGAAAAAAGCGGGTATTTTGAGTAGGGGGTACCATCCTAAACTAGGTTCGAACATGGATGGTGCACCGAAAACCCCAACATGGTACCATTGGTGTTGACCCACGGCCAAATCAGTTTGCTTGGCTGTTTTGACTCGGACCCAAGCACGGGATCCTTGGGAGCCAGAACGGGACATGTGGCAGAACAAAGACGAACCGAATCCTCCACCCTCCTTTTGGTTTCCGGTGCGGTTTCCTTTCCGGCTCCGGGGGACCGCTTCCCTTCTCGCGCTCTTGCGCCTGGGAGTCTGTGCAGCGCCCATCGTCCAGGATCTGCAGCAGCAAGTTGAAGACATCTGGATGCGCCTGGCTTAAGCTTGCAACACAAACCAAGAGGTGGGAGAAAAGGAACGATTCGCCACCTGGCCTTGCTAAGAGCTTCCTAACTTGGGTGTGTCTCTGGGTGCGTCAGAGAAATGGGGAGTTGGGATTCGGATTTCCGTCTGCCAGCGAACTGGTATCCTCAAAAAGACGCATGCCAAGCAGTGGCTGATCCCCTGCAAAGAAAACACACGCTTGCTCAAGCATGTGCAAATCACAGGTTAGACCCCCAGCTGCCACGTCAGGGGATCTTTTGTTGCGCATGTGCCTCCCACACAGCCCAAAACGACTTGCAACCAAATCAGAGCTGTCTGGATCTGGCAGGGCTTCACATCACTTGCCCGCCCTTTGGTCTTTTGGGCTGGGGAGGTGGCGAGGAATGACGTCGGTCCCTTGCACGCGCCGCGCGCTCGGAAAACACACGCAGCTCCCTTGGTGCACATAGGCGACCCATAGTTTCGGCTAGGGCAATCTAGCAAGCTAGAACTGCCGTCGCTTGCCCGTGCAATGTCTGAGCGGCTGACCTGTAAAGCAGAGAAGCGTCGGCGGCGAAAGACAAACTGGGACCTCGCTTTACTCGCATGACACAAGCCACCAGGAAGAGGAAGCCAAAGTCTGAGCCGGACATGGTCGAATCACGATTGACACCTTGTGCGCTTCGTTTAGTCTCTAGGGGGAGCGGTTAGCATGTGCAGCTGGTTCTGTCAGCGATGCCGGTGTTGACTTTTCGAGCGTTGTCACCGGGCCTGTTTGCCTTTGTTTTTTAATGGCCCGGGGAAGAGGGCCATTTGAGCTTTCATTCTTCTTGACGGAACCATCAAATCTGCTGTGCCTGCCAGTGCTTTGTACTTTGCCCTTTCAAGAAACTTCCGGGCGCCGGGTGAACGCAGCGCGAAAGAACACATTGCATCAAGGCTCTGCGGCTGAACCCTCCGAAAGCTAAACACAGATGTGGCTGTGGGTCAAATGCAATGGGATCCCATTTTGGTTGGTGGGTGCACCAGCCATTTTAGGACAAATTTTCGCGGAAATTGGGACGTTCACTGGGGGCTACGATTTGGCTTTTGAGCCATGGCCACATGCAATCCCTCCAACCCTTCAAGCCGGCGCAAACCAGCGCAGGCGGTCGTTCTTCTGCCGTGCCTTCTCCATCTCGTCAAAGAGGATCACGCTGTAGGGCCGGCGCCTGCCGATTTGGACTCCGCGACTCCGCGCGGGGCTGGCGTCCTTTTTTGGGTCGCAAAACCCTCGGGCGACTCAGAGTAGGCTGGCGCGCTGAGGAAAACAAAACGAACCGCTGAGCCTCCGACGACAAGAAACGTCTTGTAAAGAGAATCGGCTGGGCGATTGCGACTGGTCATGTTGAATGGAAGCCAAAGCCTCAAAAGCGCTCGGTGTTGTCATGAAAACGGAGAAGCGATGAAACGATGAAGCCATGTGGTCATGTGCATTTGGGCAGTGGTCAAGCATGTACATCTGTCAAGTTTGTCAAACACTTGAAACCGACGTGTTTGTTGTTCATAGCAAAACGCAACGCTCTAAACACGGGCTCCGTGCAGAATTCTGAGTTGCCAGCACCTGTAAAACACACCTTTTCCGCCTCTGCCCCCCTTTTAAGCACAACTGGCTGACCCTGCTGGTCCCTCGAAGTATTAGAGTGACATCCTCAATTTTACCCTCTGGCTGGTGGTTTAAAGGAGGTTTGGTTTCTTGTGATGGGTTCAGGTACTATCCTTTGAGGGCCCCGATTTAAGGGACCTGGAATGTACGCTGTAAAGGATTGACTGGAGGATACACGTTGCGGATAACATCGCATTTACTTGCTGATCTCGAGGATCCCTGGTGACAGGTGATTTTGGGATGCGGGGTTGATCAGATTGTCCGTTACGAGGGCCGACCATTTTAATAAAACCACTGAAAAGATGCTACTTCCACATGGAAAGGTTACCCATGGTCAGTTGGGGGCCCTAGATGGAATATTGATCAACCCCTCCCCCCCCCCTCCCCACAACCCTTATCTTTTTCATTTGGGGGCCCGAAATGGAATACACCCAAGCACTCCTTGGACACGTAAATAAATACACATATTTGCATGATCACCCCCAACAACCCCCCCACCCGTATCTGGCGCGCCTCACGGGCTCCGTAAGCTGACCGCCCTCCTCGTAGCCCACGTAGCCCGGGGGCGCCCCGATGAGCCGCGACACCGCGAAGCGCTCCATGTACTCGCTCATGTCGATGCGGATCATCGCCTCCTCAAAGCGAAGGATTTGGATCGATTTCGGGGGGAAGTAACCAACATGAAACCAGGAAGGTTCCTGGAAGACCACGTCCTACCCGAAATCACCCCATTCTAAAAATATAAAGTTGTTTGATGACCTGTTCCAGGATGTGTCTGAGTTTTCACGGGATGCCTCATGGTTTTGCGGTTAAGTGTGGTTGGTTTACTTGCAATATTTAGCGCAACCACCTGATTTAGCTGAGGATTCACACGTTGTCTGAACTTCAAGTTGCTTTCCACCTGTCGGCTGGTCACTTTTTTTGGAAGAAATCCTGATCGACGGTGTTCCAGACTGGCTTTAGGAGCGTCAAGAAGCCATGCTGCAGCCCATGTGCTATGTGTACCGTGGCAAGCTCCCTTGAAGGGTCTTGGCCCAACCCCAACAAATTCAACAATATGTTGCTTGCTCTGATTCTGCATGTCAACCCTAGATATCAACATATCAAGGAATTAACACAGATCCCAGCGAGAGTCGTGTCCGCAGCATTAGATGACAATCCTCTTATTCACCACAGATTAGCCGGAGTCCTCTAATGACCCGTACACGTACTGTCACTACGAGGGGGGGATACAAGCGTGGGGCTCCAGAGAGGCCTGCAGATCTGAACTTCTGCCCTCACACCGGCACTCGACTCGTTCGTCACCTTGTCGCCAAATGAACGCGGCGATTCTTTTCAAGCTCTGTGCCATTTTCACTGTGGTGTTCAGGAAAGCCAAAAGGAAAACCCACATTGTGAGGGGCCCCCCTATTTAGACACATACCCAGCTCATGCTTCTGTGATAGCTCTTGAAACCTTACGAGATGCTGATGCCAATATGCCAAAGCAGCTGCTTGCTCCCTGCTGGTCAACAAAACACATTTCGGCCGACCTGTAGCATACGAGTCCGTCAACCAAGAAGAAGCAGCATCATGCTCTTTGGAGGAAACAACACTTGTGGAAAAATCGAGGTAGAAAGGGTACCTCAAACAACACACAAAACACAGAGAGAGGGAGAGAGACAAGAGCACGCAGCCCGAAGCCGAGAGGAAACACACAAAACCGCTCCTCCGAGTCGAAGAGTTGGCTCGCCAAGGTCTTTGCCAGCTCGGTCTTGCCGACACCTGGCAACGAGGATCCGAGAACAACCACCGACGGCAGGGTGAAGGCTAGGCACGAAAAATTGCCATTTGTAGAGGAAACTCGTTTTGGGGGACCCCCCTCCTTTTTGGGCTCCATGTTAACTTGTGGGCAGTAATCTTGGATTTCTGCTTGCCCAAGCCCATGATTGCAGAAGGTGCTTGATGCCTGGATCCTCGCACTTGACACTGAAGCGGACGTGCGAGGTGGCTGAGAAAATTACTCCCTGCTTGCTTCTTCGCGGAACCAGCGAAGAAGGAGGTCCCTCTAAAGGCAACGATCTTCAGCGTCCATGTTTCTCTGCAGCGTAACACGTCTTGGAACCCACCAAAAGCTGTGCCAGCTCCTGCACACCGCATGATGCCCAAGAAACAGGACCTGATGTCCAATTGAAACCATATGAGCGGCGCTTAAAACGTCCTGCTCAAGTCCAGGCCGCAAAGAAGTCTTGCGCCGAGCTGCTTGCGCGAGCTTAGGCGAGCACGCGATCACCCGCGCAACTGGCACTTACGCAACACATGCGTGACGTGACGCCAACACGTGTTTGCCTCACACCCCCCCATTGCAATACAATGCAGTGTTGCACTCTGCCAATATGGGGTGTTTCTCCATATTGGAATCGTCCCCTAGAATGGGTGGTGTCCTTTGGAATGCCAACTAAGAGAAACTCCCACAAGTCACTCATTTTGTGCCATCGTTTCTAGGTGGATACAGTATGATGATTGAGAATCAGACTTGGGTTCTCATCCCTTTTGCTTACTGGCCAAAGTGTCTTGCTACTGTGGATGGACGGAATCCAGTTTGCACCACTTTTGAAACCACGGGAAACCAGATGGCATTTGCGGGGGGAATCGAATCATTCCAGGTCTGCACGATCCGAGAACCCGAAGCGGATTTCACACACGCAGGTGACTTCCAAGGCCGCGGCCTTGTGGGGAGACCAAGCTAATGGATCCAGACAAAGATCTGTCAATCACTCATCTGTCTTGAAACAGATTCACCAAAAAACCGAGCTTAGCTAGTGAGTCAAACTTGTCAACCGCTCCTTAAGGCTTCTGCAAGACTCTCGCATCCCGGGCGGGTCAAGCTTAGTGATTCAACCGCTCCTTCACACCTCGGTTGCGAAATCTCCCCTGCGAAAAGTGACGAACTTTTAGTGGTTGAGTTCGGACAACCCAGCTGGCAAACATTCAAAGTCAGTCCCAACATCCCTTGACAAAAAAAAAAAAAGACAAGGCTTCATTAAAAAAAAAAAAAAACTCGCATCTCGGAAACGTCGGAAACCTGTGGAAAAACAAAAAAACATATCCCGGGCGTCTTCTTCGCCGCCCCTTCCAAGTTCCAGGGCCCCGTCCCGGCCTGTGGGCCCGAGGAACAGGAAGGAGGCAATGGGACGGCTGGGATCACCTCACGGTTCGGTCGCCCACACCGCCCGGCGAGCGAGGTGGACGGTCCGAAAAATGCGGCAAGGGCCGAGCAAATCGAGGCCGCAAGAGAACCTTCCGGAGGAAGCCATCAGTTGGGATTTGAGCAGACTGTGCTCATTTATGGTTAGGTTTTCATCTACCCGATTTTTTGATGATGACTGAAGTAATTCATGTAGGGTGAAAGCAGGCGCCACCATTCCCCCCGAATTTGGGCAGTCACCCCCTTGACTCACGAATATGTTTGCGCCATCTACTGCCACAGGGCGCGGATTCCAAGGTCGCGGTTTGGGCAAGTGGCTGAGTCCATACCTCGAGCGCTGGATCGCCTGTGCGCAGGCAGTGACCGCAGCGTCCTAGCAGGCGCTGCGACTCGTGCAGGATTCGGCGGTTTTGAAAGCTGGCTTTCCCGCAAGCGGTTGCATTCTGATTGGTGGTAGCACTTGTGGTACTTGTAGTACTAGTAGAACAGTACCAGTAGGCAGAATCATATCGAACAAGGTCATCCGCTTTCCTCTCGCACCTCGCCAATCTAAGCTCCTGGACATCATTTTCCGAAAGCCTCCAGAGGTCTTTCCATGGGCTTTTCACCCGACGTCCAACGTGCGAACTCCGAACTCCCGAAACCGAAGCCGAAGCCGAAGCCGCTTTCCCGCTTTTCTTTCCCCGCGCCTGACCAACCACGCGCTTGTGCAGCTCGTCTGGGCGAATGGTGGGGGCTCGCAAAGCGAGAAATCCTCAAACTCCCCGCAAATGTCCAGTCAGTTTAAGGCCACGATCGGTCAAATTCTTGGAAACCTGAAGTGGATGGATCATGGCAAACCCCCGAGAATATGGCCCACTGCAGTTTTGAGAGCGCGCGGGGGAAAGAGAGAGAGAGAGAGAGAGAGAGAGAGAGAGAGAGAGAGAGAGAGAGAGAGAGAGAGAGAGAGAGAGAGAGAGAGAGCGTGAGAGAGAGATTGAGAGAGCGAGCGCGCTAAGCTGCAGGGCGTCGATACTGAGTGACTTCCAAAGGGTGGTTGAGGAAAACCTCGCAACCCCACACTTTCTGTGATACCAAAGTTGTCCCAACGTAGTCCATCCCCATGACTAGCTTCGTCAATTCAAAGAAGAGAACTTCCTGGAACCACAGAAGTTGGGCCTACCTCTTCCACAACGATGGGTTGGTGTCCAGTCCCACCGCCTTTGCTTTATTTGGGGGGTTGATCAAAAGGTCTGTGATACATGGGATGACCCTCGGTTGGAAAACCACCAAACAAGATTTGATATGTCAATCACATGGCGAAAGCTACCCTCTGTCAAACCTAGGGGCCCTAAATCGAATATGGAAAAGTCAACCTCATTTGGAAAAAAGGGGAGAGAAGGGCACTGGGGGACCAAGTAGTTCAACCCGCCTTCCAAGAGCAGCAGCCGCTGCTGCATTCCCTTGGACATCTTCTCCACCGGGATGCCTAGCCAAACGACACGTGCGGGTCGTGAAGCCAATTGGAACCCTCATGTCGTTCGGGCGAGTGAGTTTGAAGCGAGAGTTTGGGAAAACACCGGGGTGTCTCGGCAAACATCGACTCATTCCAGTAAATGAATTGAAATGGGAAAGGCTTTTGGCCTTTGAATGTGC